ATCATTTCAGCTTCCTTAAGTTAAAAAGTCTGTAGTTGGAAATGTATACAATAAAATATATTTTGAATTATGTTGGAAATAAAACCATTAGCCTTCACAGGATTAGATGTAATCCACTCCTGAAGTGTGACATCAGTTCCATCAGATATCACCTGATTTACTGACATAACTCTGTTGTTGTACCCGACAGAAGGCACCATCCACTGGGAGAGAACGGAAACTTCTGAGAATGGTCTGGACTCTCTGAATGTGGAGTTGACCTCCTACGTCTTGCTTGCTCTGCTCACCTCTCCCCCCATGGAGGGCTTTGGTTTGGATTACACCTCTGGAATCGTCCATTGGCTCGTTCAGCAGCAGAACCCATATGGCGGCTTCTCCTCCACACAGGTAGCGCAGGACTTTTTAACGTCCAAGGGAGGGATCTTAACTCTGAACCAAGCTGAGCTAAAGTGAACCCCTCTGCTCTACAGGACACAGTGGTGGCCCTCCAGGCTCTGGCAAAATACGCCGCCGCCACCTACAGCCCACAGGGCACAACTACGGTGATTGTGACATCTTTAGGAGGCCTGAACAAAGTGTTCACAGTGAATCAGGACAATAGGTTGCTGTACCAGGAGGAGAAGCTTAGCGAAGTGCCCGGAGAGTACAACATCACAGCTGAGGGCCAGAGCTGTGTGCTGACGCAGGTAGGCCCCAATCTGAGCCGTCCACCACAGGAAATCAAGAACGCTAACGGGCTGACCACTAAAACATGAAGACGGTCATTAGGTTGTAGACCCGAAGTTGTTTACACCGGAGGTTAAAGGGAGAGTTTGGTCATTTTTGCGGTTATCAGTCGTTAGTACTACAGCCTGATCAATATGGAAATTTTGGCTATTGCTGATAGTTATTGGAAGTGGAAGGTGATCACGATATAATCGCTGAGAATTTTTTTGCTTTGTTCACCCCCAAAAGTCTAAACAGTGAGTGGAGCAGGCTTGTTTCTTTATCGCAGCTGTTAGCAACCATGAAGCTAAGCAAATCAGATCCACGCTTTAATTGGTCCCACAGTAGGTTTACAAGTGGTGCACTGGTCATAAACAGTCTTCCTAACGTGCGTTCACATTTTTGATCCTCCACTTTTCACCATTAAGTTATGAAGTGTGTTACAAAAAATATAAATTAAACCAACGCCCTTCCCTGTTCGTTAAAACAGTCAGTCCCGTATGGTGAAGGTCTAATTAGTACTGACCACAGCAGCGTTTATTTTTCTGTCCAGAGAAGTTGAGCTTTCAGACAAACATTTCATTCAGGATGACAAAGATAACGTTAACACTGGATGTCTTCAGAAACTGGAAGCTCAATCTGACAGGACTGGCTGCTAGAACTGACAATGGGGCTAATGTCGTGAAGGCGGTGCAACTGAACACTAACGTTAGCTTGCTAACTTGTGAGGCACGTAGCTAATGTAGCTAACGACAAGCTAGTTAAAGAATTGAAGGGATTTTTAAAAAAAATTTTTTTATTTTACAGATCAGTTCAATAAAATTACACCCTGTTCAGCAAAATATACCACACAGTATTGCTCCCTGCATTGTCTGTGTTGAATGTGAAAGTGAAACTTAAGTGAACAGTCCTGACTTGAGTCTTCATGCCCCCTCTGCTGGATACATTGTACAATTACAGCTGGTTCACAGCATTTAAGGAGTGACTATTAGTAATGCTTAAATTGGCGCATAATGGAACAATTATCACCAATACCAATATGTCCCCCAACGTCTATATAGTCCTAAATTTTTGGCCCTACCAGTATTTCGGTTGGGCTCTAGTTAGTACCTTAGTTAGTTGGTACCAGTGATATCTGTTATAGAGCACAAAGTATGACGAATGAGGCAAAGGTTTTCATCCAGAGTAGGCTAATGGTTGGCCAAACATTGGCTCATTTTTCCATTTTTTATTTTTATGTTTTAGGCTTAAAAAGCAAATCTTTCTCAAAATGAAGCTGGTCTGGAACTCCACGTTAAACCTCTACACTTCTGCATGACGATTTGTTTTGGTTGTTACCGTTTTCTCAACCGAACATCTTGAGTTATGGTGTTGATGTCGTCTTTGGGTCTCCAACAGTGTTTGTAACTGTTTATTTTTCTGCAGATCTCCATGTACTACAACATTCCACCTCCAAATGACTTCTCTGCCTTCCTCGTCACTACAAGCATCATGGCTAAATGTAACTCTGCACAGCCACAGCTCATCCTCTTGGTTTTTGTCAGGTAGGACTACTATGGTGGTTTGGATTGGCCCTCACATGTGTCGTGTGTTGGAGACGGACGCCTAATGTGTGCTGTGTGTCGGACTCCTGCAGGTATCAGGGAAGGAGAGAAGAAACCAACATGGTCATTGTCAACATCAAACTTCTGTCTGGATACGTTCCAGATCAGGCCTCCATAAAACAGGTCCGTTCACCACCCGTGCAGCCATGACTGCTTTAGTTACCAAAGTTACCAAATGACTGTACTGATGTCTGTCTGCTGCTACAGCTGCAAAGCTACGCCTCTGTGAAGCGAGTGGACGTGGAGAAAGGATTTATCAACATCTACTTGGACGAGGTGGGTAGTTCTTAGGCCATGTACCATGAGAGCCATTGGGTTTTTATTGTGAGTGTAAATAATGAACAGGTGCTCTGGATGTTTGCTGTGCTTGCAGATGAAGAAGGATATAAAGCAGGTGTTCAGTGTGACTTTGGATGAGGATCAGCAGGTCAGGAACCTGAAACCAGCTGTGGTCAAAGTCTATGATTACTACCAGACAGGTAAGACCCTCCTGAAACATCCCCTGACCTCTTCTATGCCACATCCATCTGTGTTGGTCTCTCCTCACTCCTGCTGTGTTTATCTTTCAGGTGATCAGGGTGTTACGGAGTACACGTCCCCCTGCGCTGAGAGTATGTATAACTTCCTGAAGCTTTCTGTTCTTCTCTCATGCATTATTAGTCTTCCTTTTCTGTGCCATCATATCCACTGGTAGACATTCGGTGGGTTTCATTCCAGTAAAACCTCAAACATATCAGTTGGTCATAAAATATGTCTAAAATAAACTAGTTTTATGAATGAACCTCAATAATTAAAGATTTAGCATGTATACAATCCCATGGAGCGTTGCAGTCACCATCATGAAACTGATGCTGCTACAATATGATTAAAGTCAAAAGACGACGGCAGCAATCTGACAATGTGTGTTGTGTTCAGCATATGTAAAACATGTGGTAGTTGATGACTGGCTCTGAATCTTTGACTGCTCAGATGTTCATTGTTCCACTTCAGTGATTCTTGTAGCAGAAAAAAGTAATAAGATACACATGCTTTTAACAATCAGCCTTTAAAGTTGTACTTTTCTGTTGCTATTCAGGGTCTTGAGTTATAATTTTGCAAGCTAATTTTAGAAACTGTCAAAGGGGCCTTTGTATGTTCATTTTTTTGACTTGCTCAATTTAAAAAATTGGGATTAACAGTAAATTTAATCAGAAAGTGAGTCAAAACCTTTCACTTGACTTTCACTCTACCAATTTTAACATATGATTTTGCTGCGTTACTGTTTTAGAATCAGAATAAGCTTTATTGTCATTGCACAGAGATACGAGAACATGTACGAACAGTCGTCCTAAAGATGGACGGAGTGCACGAAGCTGCTACTAGAAAAGTGCAGCGCTCTTATTCTTCAGAATCTTTTTGCTTGGATGAGAAAATGGAAGAAAACATGAGAGACGGCATAAAAGATCTCTCACACCTTGTCCTAGACAGGGCACGATTTGAGGCATCAAAAACCTACCACAGCAAAGCAACATAAATAGACATGATACATATAGGCCGGTGAAGACATTGGTTTTTAAGGGAAGGTCGTAGCATAGTCCAGAGCGCGCCCCCCGCCCCCCCCCCCCGCCCCAGCCATTGTCCAGATAGGTGACATTCATCATCATCTCTGAGGTTCTGTCACGTGTCCACGGCCTTGGGGAAGTTAGGGGTGTGGAGACAAAGCACCTTTGTTTTTACTAAACATGCCAGGAGGAGTTAAGTCCGGCGTCAAGGCCACAGTTTGGGTCAGGCAGAACTTGTGAATTGTTGTTTCTGCCTTTTTTTTTTTTAAGTCTTGCTGGTATATATTCCTCTGATGGAAACTCCAAACAGCCAAATTGATTCCTTACGCCGAAAGTCGAGCTCACAGCTTCTCCAAGATTATTCCCACCGTTCAAGGGTGCTGCCAGAAAGTTCAGTCCTGACGCAGCTCCACATAATTCAGTCATAGTGCTGCCAAGCTTAGACACATCCACACGAATTTTTAGACAATCCAGATTTCACCAACGAAACGGCAAAAAAACAGTTGTCGTCATGAATCCAATTTGTTTCCAGCGAGGGTCCTCCTTACCCTACTAAAATAAAATCTGAATTATGTAGTATGTGCTCCAAAAATCACCAGTTGCATTACTTTTAATATCATTGTTGGAGGAAAAATATTCTCTCAAATTACTTGCTGTATATCGTATCGGTTCAGTTGAGCTCGCAGGCTTGACGGGGACCTTGAAGCAACAGCTGCATGCCTGCAGCCTCAAATGTGAAAATTGATGTGGAAAGCAAAAGATCACTAATGCCACTTGGTTATGTGCTGCTGACTATCCATGATGCTGATCTCATGCTGCTGATTATTTCATGTTGCTGTGTTCATTAGTCCTCATTTGCTCACACAGACTCGTGTTCGTGCTGCTGCTGTTTTGGCGCATTGTTTTTGTACTATTGGTGCTTGTGTACTCTTGTGTATTCTTAGTTTAGTGAATGTAGAATATTATTAGTTCATATCTTTGATCTTACTACTGTTTTTCTTTGCAATTTGTATTTTTGTTGAATGTAACTATTTACATAGTTTCGTTCCACCTCATGTACCACATGTGATGTGAATGATGATAAAAATCTTTGAATCAAATCAGCTCCTCGTCCAGCCCTCTCTAATTTAAACAGTTTGTGGGCAGTTAACATTCTCAGTCATAGTAGTTTAAAAACATCCATAAACCTTGATAAAAAATTCCCTAACAGTCATGTCTTGTTGGCTGTAATAGATTATCTTTGTTCTAAAAAGCAGATTTGCCCGGTAGCTTCAGATAGCTCTCTATATTGAACCTGTGAGTCAAACAAGCCGTGTCAAAATCATAAGCGACCATTCTTGGGTTTATGCCAGTTTAGAGTAAAGCTCATTTTTCTCATTATTGTTGTGAATGACCCTCCGCTACTACCACACCAAACGTTAGTCTAGTATTTGTAAAAAATCTAGTTCAAGGTTCTTTGTCATTCGCATCACATGTGTTACATGAGGTGGAAAGAAACTGTGTACTCATTGTCCCGGTTACACCCAAAAATAGCAAAAATATAAAGTATAAAAAAGAAACGGTATACAAGAATCTAAGATGTACATTAAACAGTAATGCAATATAATACAGTGTATTAAACAGCAGCCTGAACATGAGTTGGTTGTGAGCAGATGGAAATACAGCAGCTTAAAGGCAAGAAATCGGCAGCATGGATGATCAACAGCACAGATAAAATGACATCACCAATTAGTGATTTTTCTAGTTGGGGATTCATGAGTCTTAACAGCTTCAGATTAGAAGCTGTTCCTCAGTCTAGTGGTTAAGTTAATGCTCTGCAACCTCCTGTCTGAGGGGAGCGGGGCAAAAAGTATGTGTGCTGGGTGAGTGGGGTCCTTCATGATGCAGGTGGCAGTCTTCAGATAGGTGGGAACAGTTGCCAGGGTGAGGGAGGAGTTGGATATCACCCAGCACTTCACAGAGCTGATCAGCACAGTCTCTCTCTCAGCACCCTCCCCTGGATGTTGTCTGGGCCAGTGGCTTTGTGAGGATTAATCCTCCTGAAGTTTCTCCTTACTTCTGCTGAGGTCATGCTGAGGAATGTTTCTTCAGATGGTGACGTGAATCTGGTGCTGAGTGGTCTATTTAGGTCTTCAAAGCGGGCATAGAACCTGTTCAGAGCATCAGGCAGTGATGGATTCCTAGGGCATTGCGCACCTCTGCTTTTATAGTCTGTGATGCACTTAATGCCCTTCCACATGCTCCTTGGGTTCTGTGAGGAGATATGTCCCTGGATCTTCCATGCATATGTGGTTTTGGCCCTCTTCATACCAGCAGCCAGCTCTTTCCTTGCCCTCCCCAGTTCCTGTGAGTTGCCAGACCTGAAGACGGTATCCCTGGCTTTCAGCAGAGTATGGACCTCTGTGTTCAGCCAGGGTTTCTGGTTCATGTAGTACATCACAATCCTGGTGGTGGTGACATCTTCAACACACTTGCTGATGTATTTGAGGACAGCAGATGTGTATTCCTCCAGATCCAGTTCTCCCTCATTTATAGCGGCCTCCCTTAAGATCTGCCAGTCTGTGCGTGCAAAGCAGTCCTGCAGTACAGAGTCACTGTCGCTGGGCCATACAGCGATTATGATCTGTGTCTGGAACGTCTCAGTGGAGGGTGGTAGACAGTGGCCAGGAAGATGATGTGGTCAGAGAGGCCAAGTTGGGGGGGTGTGGTATTGCTCTATATGCATCTTGTATGTTGGTATAAACGCTGTCTAGTGTGTTACTACCCTGTGTCTGTATAGTGATGTGCTAATAAAATCTTGGCAGAGAGTCTTTTAGGTTTACATGGTTAGTCACCAGCCACCACGTAAAAAGCATCAGGATTCTTGTTTTCAAGCGAACTGATATGATTTGGCTCCCGTAGTGTGTCGGGAACAGCGATGGAATCTGTCTGCTGGCATTAGCCTTCAGCCTTGCTAATACTCCGCCTCGTTTTCCTCTTTTCTGTCCCCGCGCGTAGCGCTTCCTTTTACTGTTAGTGCACTGGTCTCTCCACGCTAATGTTGCAGATGTCCATAGTAACTGCAAGCTACAGAGTGTAGCTCTCAGATTGTGGTCCATCATTGCTGCTGCTGTTGCAGCCAAAACTTCTTATGTTAATGAGTTTGGTTCAGCTAGAATTCACACGCTTAAAAGCGAGCCAAGTCTGGCTCGGGTCCAATGTCAAAGCAAAAAAAGGGGTTTTCCCTGGGACCATGAAAAGCCACTGCTTGTCTTTGCGCTGCCATCTTGTTTGATGGGATATGACTGAGATATAGCCAATTTTGTGTGGTCATTTGACTGTGGCAGCCATCTTGAATCTGACTTTTTAGCAGCAGGCGATAATCTTCATAAACAGTCTTCCTAAAATAAGTCTAATCACATCGGTGTGTAGTGGCCTTAGGTAATGTTTTGTTTTCTGTGCAGGTGACAACATCAACGAGGTGTGAATAAAGATACGGTACCAGTCTTCTTTCAGAGGAATCGCTGTCAAACACGTCCACGGGATTGGTTTGGTTCATAGACTGTTGCTTCGAAATCATACTGTTTTGAACTCTTTTGGTCAGGGTTTATTGTAGTGTGAAAACCTTTGTCTTAAACTTTCAGGGTTTGAGTGTTTTTGTGTTTATCTTGTTACAACACTGGAACTTGCACATAATTAACTGAATTTAAGAAGCAGAAACAGCTGCTCTGTAATGTTTTCTTAATAGATTTGACAAATCCACATTATTCATGCATGATGCCAATAAAATAGTATGATCAAAGTACTGATTGTGTTTGTCTGATGGGGTCTACTCTCTGGGGGGGATACGTTTTAGTCTTATTGGGGTATGGTGAGTTGATCTGTGTAATGCTGATGTTGTACCGGTTAAAATGCAACATTACCTTATGGTCTTGAATGTAGCAAACAATAAAGTGTCTAAAATCACTTAAGTGTAAGAGTTGAGTTCTTATAAATCTGTCATTTCAATACCACTTTCTTCCATTCAGCAGTCCTCTGCATCTTTTCAAACATGCATGTAGATAACCGCAATGCGTATAGCACCATCTACAAACCGGATTCCAAAAAAGTTGGGACACTAAACAAATTGTGAATAAAAACTGAATGCAATGATGTGGAGATGGCAAATGTCCAATATTTTATTCGTAATATAACATGGATGACGGATCAAAAGTTTATTCTGAGTAATGTAACATTTTAAAAAGGAAAAAGATGTTGATTCAAAATTTCAGTGTCAACAAATCCAAAAATTGCTTATGTAACTACGGTTCTATGAATCCCGGATGATTGCCAGAGGGCGGTGCTGAAAGCACAATGTTCCCTTCGCGCATGCGCTGTTCGAGTAATGATACCAACGCAGTCACAGGTGTGACACGGATGACGAGGCTATATAGCCCGACGTCATCCGCAGCTCTGCTCCTACAGAATCTTCTCGCGGAACGCAAGGATTCTGAGTGATGGAGAAGCTCTGGCGGTCATCCGGGATTCATAGAACCATAGTTGCATACGTAACTTTCGTTCTATTTCATCCCTCCTGACTGCCAGAGGACGGTGCTGAAAGCACTGAATGACTAATATCAACGACGTCACAAGGAATCCTAACGCCCACCTCACTGAGGAGGCCCAGAGGACCCTTGTAAAAGAACCTGGCCCAGGGGATGAGGGGTGGCCACGTTAACTCTATAAAATCTGGTGAATGTGCTTGGGGAAGCCTATGATGCAGCAGCACATATTGCTTCCAGCAGAACCCCTCTCAGGGCAGCCCAGGAAGCAGAGACACTCCTGGTAGAGTGAGCCTTCAAGCCGACCGGCAGGGGGCCGGGTCCTGCAGCATAGGCGTGGCAGATGACGTCCACAATCCAGTGGGAGAGGCGCTGTTTGGAAAGTGGACAGCCTAACCTAGGGCCTCCATAACACGCAAACACCTGGTCTGAATGTCTTATCACGGCAGTAGCTGCAACGTATGCCTCCAATGCCCTCACCGGGCGTAGGCTGAAAACGTGCCAGCTTCAACAATTGGTTACAGTGAGG